AGAAACGGCCCTGAGCACGGCTTCTGGTGACAGAGATCACCCAGCTGCAGGCATTTGGCTGACAGTGCTCAGTTCCAGGGTCTGACATTAAAGAACCTTATCAGGACCGCTAAGGACACTATCAGCACATCCACAGTTTCCTCCCCTGATCTCTTGTTCTGCTTGTCCCACTCTGTCTTTAAAAATCCCTTGCCTATACCAAGATGTGAGGCTGGGTTTTGAGAGGAGAGTCCCCCATCTTCCAGGTTGCCCGCCCCTGAAACCTGCCTCTGGAGTATTGGCTTTCCAAGTGGCGGGCAGGCAGAACTATGTTCGGTTATAGTTTTGGTGAGCAAGACAGTGTCTGAATAATGTCTCCACATAAGTGACCAGATGCAAGCACCACTCCCCAGAAAACTGCGAACACCCTTACAACCTAGTGCCATGTCCCAGCGCCACTTGGCGTGGGGACACGATATCTTTATTGGCCAAGGCCATTGACTAGGAAGGTAACTGCTTGACCTAGGAAACTACGTTACCCACATGGCACTGCGCCGAAGGTGGTGGCATTGAGCCAATGAAAACACAAAGTCGAGCACTTTCCAGCCTCCAGGGCAGGTTAGAACGTGGGTTCGGGACCTGCGAGCCTCGCAGCCTGCAGCCTCCGCTGCGCTCACAGAGCACGCAGCAACTGCCTCGCCCAGGCGCCCGGCTGAATTGAGTGCGCAGCCACCGGGCCCTGCCGCTCGGTGCGTGGCCCTCGTTGTGTCCAGCAGCCCAGGCCCAGCTTCCTGAACCGTGCGGTGCTTGGGGTGACACAAGGTGTGACCAGGTGGGCGGGGTAATGGGTTGAAGGACCGCTGCAGAAAGACGCGCAGAGGCGGCTGAACCGGGAGGATCGGGAACCCGTCTTGCGTCTAAAAGCGATGGAGAAGCTGAGACGAAGTAGTGCGTGAATTTTCATTCTCCAGAAGCGAAGGCTGTGGAGGGATGTGAAAAGAGGGACACTGGCTGAAATCGGGTTGTAACATTTTCTTAACACTGCTGAGAGGGAGGAGAGACCAGAAGAGGTGACAGCAGTTGGGGACCTGAAGGTGTATGCTGGAAAAGGTGACGTAACTGGCAGAGTGTGCATTGAGGATGGAGGCTCAGAGTTAATGCAGTCACCTCAAGGGCACTTAGTGGCCTGAGCCCATGGGTCCTGGCGGTGGTGGCCAGGCTCTCAGCAGACCTTCTGCCTCCACAGGTCCAGCCACTGCAGAATCGCTTAGGGTCCTGGTTTGTGGAGCTTATTTCATGGAATCCTACTCTTTAGGATGTGAGATAGAGGTGCCCTGTACTGTGTACCACTCATCCAGCCCTTGGGCCTGGGAACCTTGAACTGACATCAAGCCCAGGGTTCTACGTTTAGGTTTAGATTTGTCTGGAGTGGTCTCTGTGTTTGGCAACTAGTGAACTGAGATGCAGAAGGTCCTCCCAGGCATAAATACCAGAATGTTCCGAGGCTTGCAGGGAGGCTTAGCTGGTGCAACACCTGCAAGTATCCTTTCTTATAGGGACAAGGAACAATGGGACAGGAGTTGGGTCTAGAGCAGCTTTGTGACAAGTTGGCTGTGTATTCTGCAGGTGATGGGAGCATGGGAGATGTGCAGCGGTGGAGACAGGTGATCCGACCCAGGTCTCGTTGGAATCCCTGAGGCTGCAGCATGAAGAACAGTGGGTGTGAGGGAGGTGGTAGAAGCACCAGGCAGGAGGCTGCTTGTGTAATCTGGGTGAGTGCGAAGGACCACGAAGGGGCGGTAGAAGCTGTTGGGTTCTGGCTGGGAGTTTTAGGTGTGAAAATGTTCTAATTTGGGGGTTGAGAGAAAGAGAGAGAGGTAGGAGTCAGGAATGATTTGTATGACTTGATGATTTGGTTTTACCAACTAGTTCTATGGACGCATTATCAATTGAGAAGGGAAAAACCGAAGTAGTAAGAGCAATTTTCATTGGTGACATCAGGAGTTCTGGTTGTGGCCTGTGAATGGTATGAGATGATTCAGAGAGCAGTTCATGGGTGCCTGGAACTCTGAAGTGGAGTTCATGATGGAGACTTCTCCAAAGGTAGAAGAGAGTGTATGGACCAGGGAGGAGCAGTAGGTTAGGATGAAATGTGGAACAGTGGTCAGAAGAATGGTGCGCACTTGGAGGCTGAGTGTGAATTTATGGCCCCAGGGCTGTGGCCTTGACATAAAAGTGAATGAAGGGTGAGCTCATGACTGGTGGTTTCTGAGAGGAACTGCCTGAAAAGAGGGGGTGCTGTGGTCCTACATGACAAGTCCAGAGGGCAGATGCCATTTATCTGCCTGCCTGCCCGCCTGCCTGCCTATTGTTGTTGAGGGCCGGATACACTGATTGATAGGACCGTGATGAGACAGTGGATGTCAGTGTCACCTGGGCTTGAAAATCTCTCACATGGGGAAGGAAGAAGGGTAAGCAGGAGACAGGTTATGGAGGTGGTGAAATCAGAATCCTGGGAAAGAAGCTGATCAGAAGACAAGCTATCTCCATAATAGGAGGGCTGTGTTACCTTTCAAGTTGTGCCTCTGAGAAGGTAGCTGTGTGAGAGGTGTAAATCAAAATATTTTGTGCAGAAGTTTGTGTAAACTGATGACCTCAGGGCCCTGGGATTGGGGTCATAAGGTGAAGGATGACCCCTCTTTTCTCTGGAAAAAACAATCTTGGTGACCACAGAAGTCTTTCCTGACAAGACCAGTGTCATATCACTCACATCATCTCTACAGCCAACTTCTCTCTGTAACCTATGTAACACCCACTGTATTGACAAGAGGCAGTGGGGCCCACACACCAGGCCCAGAGTTCAGGTGTCCTGTATCCTCCCATTTGCCTATTGTTGTGGGCAGACATAGTATCAATGGGAATACAGGAGAGAGTGACACCGATGGCACCAAAGCCTGGTATCTTCTCTGAGATAGAGTCCAGGGAGCAGATGGATGTGGAGGGTTGAGGTATAGGACAGACTTGGAATTCTAGGAGAGAGGCTGATCATGGAATGAACTCTTCCCATTCTGACAGGGTATGAACTTTGCAGACGTGGTCATTGCCTTCTCCCAAGAGGAGTGGGGGCTCCTTGATGAGGCTCAGAGACTTCTGCACTGTGATGTGATGCTGGAAATCTTTGCCCTTGTAGCATCTGTGGGCAAGACCTTCATATCTCTCCTCATGTCCTGAGGTGATGTCCTGCTTCCATATTTTCTCCAGAGGTAGGTCTGTCTTTCTCACAGCCAGACCTCGGGCTCTGCTAATTTACCCCACTTTCATGTCACCTGTGCTGTGGCTGCCAGTGCTGAGCTGTGTGGAGTGTCCTGAGCCATGAATTCCCCAAGCAGTTCTAACACCTATTTCCTCAAAAAGAGCAGGGAACTGTCTGGGAGTCAGGAGTCTTTTTGTTTTTGTTTTTTTGAGGTTTTATTTATTTATTTTAGAGAGAGGGGAAGGTAGGTAGAAAGAGAGGTAGAGAAACATTTACCTGTTGCCTCTCAATATGCTCTGACCAGGGACTGAACCCACATTGCAGGCATGTGCCCTGACCAAGATTCAAATCAGCGATCCGTTGTCTTGTAGGAAGATGGCCAATCAACTGAGCCATACAAGTCAGGGCTGGGAGTCAGGAGTTTTACAAACTGCTTAGTGTATCCCAACTTACCAGTCTGCTACCTGGCAGGGTGACTGTATTTAGATCCGTGGCCTCCAGTTCTGCCCATATCATCTGACTAACAGTTCCGTGTGACTGTCTGTGCTGGGTCATGGTCATACTTTCAAGAACTGTGACTGTCCTTGTAAGATCCTCCTTCAGTTGTTGTTTTCAATATTGTCCCCTGTGAGTACTACTATATGCTGGGTCTCTGGGCCAGTACTGGCTTAGTACTGGCTGCTACCCACTGTTGTCTTTCATTAATACTGGGATCATTCAGTCTTGGAGCACAGAAGAGGGTGCAGGGAGAACCCTGGTTTTGTCACAGGGTGGACATGAATAGATGGTGTCGCAGGAGGCCTGGCCCTGCTGAGTGTCACTGGTGGACGTCAGGACATAAGGGATGTGTCCAGATCATACCAGGAACCTCCCTCATGTCCAATATTGTTTTAGTGCAAGTGCCATTGGCTACACCTCATTTTTACCTGTCCTTTTCCATATGTGACACCTTGCTGACTTGTCATTTCATCTGTGACTTCCTGGATCCTGGCTACCTGCATATTTGTGGCCTCTGTTTTACTAGTTCCTCTGCATGGCTCCCTCTGCAGTATTCCCCAACATTGACCTGTGCAAGTATTATGAAGTGCACACACTTTCGTAAGTAATTTTTGGACTACAGCTACACATTTGTTTAATTATAGTGGGAAACAAATATAACCAATGTTCTGTATAGCTTGCCCATGTCACCAGTAGGCAAGCCTTGCTGAATGCTGTTAGCAGAAGATGAGTTTGAGATACTTCTCCTCTTCCATGTGGGGCCTGCTGTTTTCCGTCCATTCTCTGTTGAGGTTTTTTTCTACTGTGTGAATTTTAGAGGCCCAGTACTGTATAGCAGCCTTTTATTCAACTTGCTTCCAGGTCTCTTGTCTTGAGACAATCTTATGAAACCATCGTATTATGTCCAAAACTCTTTAGTAATGGAACTTGTTCCTTCCACCAATGTCAACATCCATTTCCTCAGCATTTCTCATTTTTCAGGTTGTTGGCATAAAATAGAAGATGAGGGGGCCCCCTCTGAGCAGAGAGTATCTGTAGGAGCAGAGTCACAGGTGGAGGCTTCTAAGCAGGTCCAGCAACCCTGAAGACCCATCCCTGTGAGCAGTGTGTCTCAGCCTTGAAAGCTATTTTGCACCTGACTGAGTTCCAAGCAGCATACCTTGAGCAGAAAGCATTCTTCAGTGGCACATATGTGAGAGGCTTCTGTTTCAGTGCAAACCATCACCAGCAACAGAGGCCTGCCAGTGGGGAGAAGCTCTGGAAAGGAGATATGGACAGGGCCTCCCTTGTGGCCAGGTGCAGCTTTTACATATCAGGGGCACCTTTTACCAGTGAGAAGGTTGGGGAGGACTTCCCAGCCATTTCAGGCCTTCTCCAGCACCAGGTCACTCCTAACAGTGAAGAGCCACACAGTGGTGGTGAAACTGGGGAGGCCTTTCACAGTGGAAAAAGTTATCACTTGTTGGGTGAATGTGAAAAAGCTGCCAGCCACAACCACAGAGTCATTCAACATCAGGGTATCTGCTCTGGAGAAGGTCTTTATGAGTGTAGGAAATGTGGGAAAGCATTTGGACAGATCGTTAACCTCATTCAACATAGGAGAGTTCACACTGGAGAAAAGCCATATGAGTGCAGTGTTTGTGGGAAATGCTTTAACCGCAACTTTTTCCTTCTTCGACATCAGAGTGTTCACACTGGAGAAAAGCTGTGTAAGTGTAGTATTTATGGAAAGTCCTTCAGCCAAAGCTCTGCCCTCATTCACCACCAGATAGTTCACACAGGAGAAAAGCCGTATACGTGTAGTGATTGTGGAAAATGCTTTGGCTACAGGTATGTACTCATTCAACACCAGAGAATTCACACAGGAGAAAAGCCATATGAGTGCAGTGATTGTGGTAAGTTTTTCAGACAAAGCTCTAGCCTCATTCAATACCAGCGAGTTCACAGTGGTGAGAGGCCTTATGAATGCAGTGAATGTGGGAAACACTTTATCCACAAAGTGTTGGATAACACTGCATCTGACCTCATTGAACACCAGAGAGTTCACTCTGGAACTGGACCTTATGAGTGTAATGAATGTGGGAGATCTTTTTCCTGCAAATCTAGCCTTCTTAGGCACCAGAGAGTTCACTGTGGAGAAAAGCCTTAAATGTATTGGGGGTATTTTATTTCCTCATTCCATATAGTGTGAGTCTCTTTTAGAGCCATTTACTTGATTTTATGTCTTTCAGTGGAATATACACTGTGCTAGATTCCTTACAAATTTTAGGTACAAGCAAGGCTTTAAGGAGCTGGGTTGTACTTTCTAACCTGCCCAGAGATATTACCTAATTGATGTCACTGCTAGTTTTTGTGACTGAAGCCATTTCACCTCTACCACCTGGCTCACCTGCACAATGTTCCTCAGTCACAACCTCAGCGTGCTCAGGGTAGCTGACCTTTGTTCTCCCTTTTCCTTGAGGAAATTTAAGAATATTCTCAGCTTTGACCAGGATCCTCATTCCTTTTCCTGTGACCAGGGAATGGGCCTGATTCAGTGTGTGTTTCAAGGAACCATTCTCAGGTAAAAATGACTACTTCTTTCAGGGACTATGTTGTTCTTATATTATGCTGTGACAAATTTTTTTCTGGACCTCATTCACCAACATGCAAAATGCTTGCTGTACCCTGCTGTGATGCATGACCTTTTGTGAAGATTTGTTTGTCTTGTACCTTTAATTTTCGTGGTTCTATTCACTGTGTGGGATGATTTGAAAACAGAATTGTGAACTGTCAGCATGCAGTGGTTAACAGATTTTGGTGGGGATTCCAAACTTTGTGTTTTAGAAGGGACAGAATGATGACAGAAAAATCACTCTTTGTCCAATATTGGCTTATTTTATGTTGCTGCCCAAGCCGTTGAAAGAAAGACTGTATAACTTTGTGGTCCTGATTTGCATCCTGGTGCCCTGATGTGTAAGGAGGTCAAAGGTCACATTGAAGAGAAGGCATTTGTTGTGTCTCTGTGAGCAATATAAATTATATTCCCTTGTTTACAGTATATATTGCATAATAATTGCTGTCACTGAAGCAAGGCTCTTTCTCCCAGGACATGAAAGAGATGGTAGAGTTTATATACAGTTGCCAATCTAATTTTCTAAGAAAAAAGGGATTTCTAGGTTGTTATTTAGAATCACTTTTTAAAGCTTTATTCAGGTGTATTAATAATTGAAAGCAACAAAGTGCACTTCTCTAATTTGTACTATTTGGTGAACTTTGTTACTTTATCTTATCTTTATTTCACACCCAAGGATATGTTTATTGGTTAAGAGAGAGAGAAAGAGAGAAGCATGGATGTGAGAGAGAAATATCAATCAGTCACCTGTTGTATATGCCCTGATTGGGGACCAAACCCATCACCCAGGCATGTGCACTGACCGGGAATCAAACCACCAACCTTTTGGTGTATGGGATTTTGCACAACCAACTGAGCCTCACCAGCCAGGGCTAGATTGTGAGGATTTCGATAGCCTGAATACACAAAAATATTTTAAAAATATAAAAATATTACTGCTACATTTTATTAGTAATATAAAGCGGGATACAAAATAGAGGGTCTGGCAGAAGTAATGCCTGCTTCAATGTGGCTGGTAGGGTAATAATATGGGTTTGATAATTTATAGTTTTAATTTGAACATTTTACCTAAAATGTCATAGGGTGTGCTTTAGTGTGATACTGTTGTTACAGAATTACATGCTTATGATTTTGTAATAAAAGGGGGCATTATTTGTGCCAAATCTTGTATATTTGTAGTGTTTTCATTAGGTATCTTTTACATCTATTCACCTATATGTACCACTTACCCCTCTATTCTCTGAAAAATTGTTCTTTGTGGTGTTAATGTTTTATGTACTTGGTTCTATATTTCTTGTGTAATTTTAAATCCTGAGTTGCCTCTGAGTAATCCAGATGTCTACCATACACACACTTGTATAACTATACTTGTTGCTACTGAGATTACAAAGTAGACTTCTCTAACTTCCAACTGTCAAATAAGTCAAGCAATAATATTTCACAGTTACAACTTTAGCAGTTCACAATTTTAGTATCTCGGGGGGGGGGTGTTTGTTGTTGTTTTTAATTGTAAACTTTCACCCTGGATGTGTAGCTCAGTTGGACTGAGCATTCTTTTGATTAGCCAACATTGTGGGTTTGATCTCAGTCAAGGACATACAAGAATCAACCAAGGAATGCATCAATGTGTGGAACAACAAATTGCTGTAGTTCTCTCTCCATTCCTCTCTCTTTAAAATTAATAAGTAAAACAAAAACAAAAACGAAATCCAGTTACCTTTTTAAAAAACATGTATCCAGAATACAAGCACTTTTCCTAAGTCACCTTTTTGATGCATTTATTTTTCACCTGGAGTTGGGAGTAGTTTCTATGCCACACAGCCTCTGTTCTCCACTCCGCACCCAGAGTCTGGTACAACCTCGATAAATAACTTCTTTTCTTCTGATCCAAACCTCCCCAGTTACTTCCCAAATTGACACTCATCTACCAGTGGGTTCTTGGGCTGCTTCCAAATCTTGGCTATTGTAAATTATGCTGCAGTGAAACTAGGGGTATAGATATTCTGTCAAATGAGTGTTTCAGGTTCATATATATTCCCAGAAGGGGAATTGCTGGGTCATAAGGCAGTTCCATTGTTAATATTTTTAGGTAACTCCACACTGTTTTCTATAGTGGCTGCACCAGTTTGCATTTTCAGTACAGTGCACAAGAGTTTCCTTTTCTCTACATCTTTGCCAGCACTTGCTCTTTGTTGATATATTGATGATAGCAACTCTGACAGGTGCGAGGTGATATTTCATTGTTGTTTTAATTTGCATTTTTCTGATTAGTGATGTTGGGCACCTTGTCATATGTTGATTGGCCATCTGTATGTCCTTCTTAGAGAAGTGTCTATTCAGGTCCTTTGCTTATTTTTCAATTGGATTTTTTTTTGGTGTTAAGATTTATAAGTTCTTTATAAATTTTGGTGAATATTAACCCTTGGTCAGATGTGTCATTGGTGAATATGTTCTGCTATACAATGGGTTCTGCTATACAATGGGTTGCTTTTGATTTTGTTGATGGTTTCCTTTCTTGTACAAAAACTCTTTAGTTTCATGTGGTTCCATTTCTTCCTTTCTTTATTTTTTGCCCAAAAAAAGATATATCAGATAAAATATATCTATGAGAAGTGTTTGAGATTTTACTGCCTATGTTTTCTTCAAGAATTGTTATGGTTTTGAGTCTAATATTTAAGACTAATCCATTTTGAGTTTATTTTTGTGTATGATGTAAGAAGGTGATCAGATGAATGTTCTTGCACATGCTTCTTGGTCAAGGGAAAAAAAATTTTGTCCAGAAGACCTCTCTGAGCCACGTTGTGGAATAATAAAATAAATGGATAAATAAATAAATGCGTGTGTGTGTTTGTGTGTGTATCTGCCACAGTTCTACACGGAGACAAGAGCTCTGGAAATACTCATAAAATCCTAAGTGATAAGAGCACTAAGAACATCTTTTGTCGTTATAGTTGGTTTTGAATCTGGTTTTGACACAGAGTTCTGAAGTCCTTTAGAATTTTCTGGGTGATAGGGGTGTCTTTGTTTGAAAAGTGAGGTGACTCTGGGTGGGTTCCTTGGTGGCTTCTGGATGGGTGCTTATCATCAGTAAGACCAAGCCATGATCAGAAGTTTGGAACTATCAGTCCTACTCACATCTTTCAAGAAGAAGAGAGGGTCTAGAGATTGAGTTAATAATCAATTATGCTGGTGTAAGTACAGAGTTCAGATAACTTGGTGAATTAATCCATTGGCCAGGATTGTGGTACAGTCCATCCAATTCCACCAGGACAGATGCTCCTGAAATTGGGATCCTTCCAGACCTCATCCTTTGCTATTTATCTATATTCTTTATTATATTTTGTATTGTATAGTAAACTGGTAAATGTCAGTGTTTTCCTACCAGAGAATTGCAAATTATAAGTAAAGACAACTTTAAAAATACTGGATTTACATTATATGTGTGTATGTGTACATATGTGTGTATATATATGCTAAAAATGAATAAAAATAGTAATACAGATTTATAGAAACAAATTGTGAATATCTGAATGAAGGAATGGTATATAATAGACATTATAGAAATCAATAAGAAAAGGACAAATAAGATCTTTGAGCAGAATCTTCACTTAAGAACATATGATGATTAGCCTTAGAAAAGTTTTTAACATTAATTTTTATAAAATTATACATAAAACTTCAAAGAGAATGCTAGGAGAATGAGGAGGAAACTTCACAGATCCACTAGGATTGATCCAATTAAAAAGAATCTTGACTTCCACTCAAGATGGAGGCACAGGTAAACACAGCTTACATCCTCACACAACCACATCAAAATTACAACTAAAGTATAGAACAGCCATCACTCTGAGCCATCAGAAATCAAGTTCAATGGAAGTGTGACAACTACAGAATTACAAAACCACATTCATTCAGACAGGTAGGAGGGGTGGAGACAAGAACAGGCTGGTTCCACACCCACATGTGGTGAATAAAAATTTAGGAGGGATATCTCAGGAGTGAGGAGTCCCAACCACCCCACACCAGGCCCCCCCAGCCCAAGATTCCAGTACCAGCAAGATAAGTCCCCATAACTCTGGCTGTAAAATCCAGCAGCAATTGAGTTGGAAGAAGTTGCTGAATTCCCAAGCAGTTCCTCATAAAGAACACACACACAGACTTAGACTTACTCCCACTGAGGTACAGCACAAGTAGCAGCTTGAAAGTCACCAGTGGCGTACAGGGAGGAACTGAAGTGTCTGGCATCAGAGCAAGAGCTGGGGGATAGCTTTCTCCCAGACAGAACTGGGGGCAGAGGCCCATGTTCCTTTTCTGAACCCTGCCCCCGCAGATCCACAGAGCCAGCAGGCAAGTGCCATATCACAAATTTGCCCCACCCTGGAGATTCCCTGAGGCTCCACAACAGCCAACTTTCAGGCCCAGCCAAGCTGTTAATGAGCTTTTCCATCTGAATATCTTGTCTGGGCTCAGGTTTCAGATCCTTTCTAAATTTTCTCAAGCAACAGCTTGCCTCAGTAAGCCCCAGTCCCTATACC